TACTCCACCCTGTAACATTTGGAGGAGCACCACACAAGAAGGTGTTAATACTTTGGAGTTAACCCGACTGCATACCGAGGCAGACAAACACCAACGCCGGAAAGACGTTGCCGCTGCCCCTCCCTCACTAGATGTAGCCCTCCACACGTGTAACATGTGTGGATGGCATTGATGGTCCCGTATCGGCCTCTTTAGTCACCTCAGAACTCACCAACGAAGGTAACATCCTAAATAACTCATATCATTGTATCATAGTTGCATGATCGTCAAACTCGATTCTGAGTGACAGCAAAGTAATAGTAGTGTGTCTGTCTGTGACATCATGAATATATGTGAGTTGCTGACCACACTCATCTATGCTTCACAACTCGTGAAACAAATAAAATAGAAAGTAGTAAAGTAAAAATAAAATAACAAGTGTGTAGATATAAAGTAAATCCCAAACAGATGTCGAAACGTGAAACGCCCAGCACTACAACACACCACAGCAGAGTTTCACACAAATCCATTTTATATACTGTATTTTTATCCATTCATTTTATTAACTAACTCTATATGTATGATTGATCCCAATTGCTGAAATTCAACACAAACTACCCGTGGTGATTTCTTTTGAAGTACTGGGAAAGTCTACCAATTATTGAGTAAAACACCAAAACAAAAACAGTGTTTGCTGCACCCAATAAACTGGAACAAAAACGACCAACATGACTCAGCAGAAATCTACCGGTATATATTTTTCTCAGTGTCTCATGATTTATGAACGTTTTCAATGAATGGATATGTTTTATTTTTTTATGATAAAAATATCCAACAGCTTATATTTATATATATATGCAAGTAAATCACTGTAGGTGGGCGTGATCTAGGTATATGCTCATAACCACAAGGAAAGAAGGTTATCAGCATATATATATATATATATATATATATATATATATATATATATATATATATATATATATATATATATATATATATATATATATATACAATCAACACCTCAACCCGCCACGATTCGAACCCACGGCCCACGAGCCAACAACTGGGACCGGGGAATGCTACCTCTGGACCACCAGGATACTAAAAGCAGTCCTAGACTCTATTATATTTCACACAAAACTTTGTATGAACGCAAGTACTTTATTAGCCTTGTTACGAGCAAAAACACATTGTTTACTTGGCTTAAGGTACTTACTTATCTTTACTCCTAAATCTCTCTCGCATCGGATTTCTGAATGGTATCGTTGTTCATCTAGTAACTGGTTTCCCTGTTTACATCTCCTATGCAGAGTACTTTACATTTATCCATGTTGAATTTTATCTGCCATTTTTCAGACCGTTCGAAAAATTTGTTTAGATCTTCCTGTACTTTTGCGGAGTCCTCGTCGGATTTAATAACACGTCCTATTTTAGTGTCATCAGCAAATTTACTTATGTTGCTGTCTATGGTCTATGCCGATATCTATGTCGTTTATGTATATAATAAATACTAATGGTCCAAGTGCTGAGCCTTGGGGAACTCCACTAGTGACGTTGCTCCAATGGGATTTGGTGCGGTTAATGCTCACTCGCTGTTTCCTGTCCTGTAACCAGGCCCTAATCCATTTAAGGATATTACCTTTGATGCCATGTGCTTCTACCTTTCTAATTAGTCTCTCGTGGGGGACTCGGTCGCAGGCTTTGCTAAAATCGAGATATACCACATCATAATTGTGCCCTTCGTCCACCGATTCGAAAACTGATGAAAGGAATGTTAATAGATTAGTTAGACATGAACGCCGGCTTGTGAAGCCATGCTGGGAATCATTGATCAAGCTGTGCTTCTCCAGGTGATTTCGAATAGAGTTTGAAATGATTGCTTCCAGTAATTTGCCTACTATTGATGTTAGACTGATTGGGCAGTAGTTAGAGGATAGTGATCTATCCCCCTTCTTGAAAATCGGTATTACATTTGCTATCCTCCAGGATTCTGGTACTACACCCTTTTTTAAGGACATGTTAAACAACTTTGCTAGGGGCATACTAAGCTCTTCCTTACATTTCTTTAATACTCTGGCAAATATCTCATCGGGACCAGGTGACTTATTAGGCTTTAGTTTGTCTATTTGCTTACTAACATCGTTACTAGTCACTACTATCTCGCTTAATTTGTTTTCTTCACTATCTCTGAATAGAGTCGGTACATCGGGTATCATGTTTAAATTTTCGGTGGTGAAAACTGTTGAAAAATATTTATTCAGATTATTGCTCATTTCTCCGTTGTTATCAGTTTGCTCGCCGGTATTTGACCGTATTGGTCGAATCTTTTCTCGTGTTTTAGTTTCATACATTTGGAAGAATCCTTTGGGGTTTGTCTTCGCCTTCCTTGCTATCCTTACTTCATTATTCCTCTTGGCTTTCCTTATCTCGGTTTTAACCCTACTCGCCAATACCTTATAATAATCCCGGAGGTAAATTTCGCCACGATTTATCCTTCTACCTGTAGCCTTCCTTTGGCCAATGATGTTCTTTACATAATTATTTATCCATTTAGGGTCATTGTTGTCTGATCTGAGTTTTTTGTATGGTATGTTCTGCCTCTGTGCCTTAAGTAACTCATTATTTAAATTGTCGTGGAACTCGGCAATCTCAAATCTCTTTATCAGGTCAGTCTCAACCGTCAGGTCTCCTGGTACGGTGAGGTCGCTCTCTGTGGGTGCATTGAGTGAGGTCACCTCATGTGAGGTCATGTAGCTCACCCCCAACCACGACACCCCCTCCCTCAGCTGCCACTTCAAACTGTCAAAGTTTGCTCTTCTGAAATCTGGTACTTTAGTGGAATTTTCCTTTCGTCTACCCTGAAAATCTAGCTGGAATCTAATTTCTTTGTGATCGCTGTTTGCCAGCTCGTTCCCTACCTCGACATTGCTAATGAGGTTTTCTCTGTTCGACAGAACTAAATCGAGTATATTATTACCCCGTGTGGGTTCGGTTATATGTTGACTTAGGAAACAGTCCTGGATCGTTTCGAGAAAATCCTCTGGTTCTGAGTTACCCGTAAGGTCAGTCCAATCTATTTGGCCAAGGTTAAAGTCGCCTACTATACATACTTTGTTGTGTATGGAAGCCCTGCGCATTTCATCCCAGTTAAGTCGCTCATTTACTATATCAAGATTGGTAGGTCTATATATTACTCCTGTGATTAATTTTTCCCTACCGTCGATTAATTCTATCCAAATTGTTTCTGTATTCCACTCAGTTTTTATTTCCTTATTTATTTCCCACTTCAGATTATCCCTGCCTCTTTTCCTGGTCTCCCTATCGGTATGGAACAATTTGTAACCCGCAATTTGGTATTCGACTTGTAACTCACGTGAGTCTAGGTTGATCCATGTTTCAGTGAATGCTATTGTATCGATTTTTACGGTACATACCAAGGCCCTAATATCATCCATTTTGTTTCTCATACTTCTACTGTTCGCGTAGTAGACGTTTAAGTTAGTCGTGTTCTGAGTCCTCCCTTTACCGCGTTTAGGTTTAAACTCCCTGTCTAATTTAGTTTTGTCATCGTTCCTAACACTATTTCCCTGTAATCTTTCACTTTGTTTACCCGCTCCCACTGCAGTCTCCTCCACCCCTGTGCCCATATGTTCCCCTAGCAGTTTAAAGACTTCGATATCTTTTGAACTGCCCTCTCTAGAGACCCAGCCAGTGTTGCCACCCCATCCCGAGACAGGTGTACCCCTTCCCTAGCATAAAGGTCCCTTCTGCCGTAGAAGTTGTCCCAGTTGAGTGTGTCTTTGTGTAATGATGGTTAGCAAGGTAAACTGACATGAAGACTAATGGTGAAGTTAATGTGTAAGGAGGCAAAGAGTGAGGCCTCAGCTTACACACACACACACACACACTTCGCCTTTAAACTTCATTTTTTATCCATATTTTTTACAACATGTCGTTTATGATTTGCATAGCAACTGATGCAAATGTATTTTTTTATTTCTGATGGCTATGGCGTTGCAACATGGAAGACATTAAAAGCAGAATATTTCCGAACTGGGGGGTTCCGGCAGATACCATAATTTCAGGTGTTGCTGTAAATCCCACAGAGTTGTTTGTTAACCACTGAGCAATTTAGGGGTTGTAGTTGATCTTGAAAAGTGCAGAGGCGTTAGTCCAGTGATATTTGATTATGTCGACTTCATGAGAGCCTCTGTTCCCGTAAAGTATTTTGCTTAGTCCAGCCATTAAATTTGATAACTAATGTACGTGTTCTGTCTTGGGGTCAGGAAACAGGTGCAAGAACTGGGTGTCAAGGTATTCGTTAAAGGTTGTTAGATCTTCACATCAATTATGATTAACTCGGCATTTATATCTCAACTATGAATGATTGTACCAAGGAAAAAATAAAATAAGTATATAAAAACAAATTATTAACACTAATAAATTAAGAATAGCGTCAGCATATTACGGGGGCCATACAAAATATGAATCATGGCTGGTAGAGGTGGGGCCTGGTGTCACTTGGCGAATCAAGCCAATTGGACTTCATGTACACTGGGTTACACTGGAAGCCGCAGCCATCATCGAGGGTGTGAGCACTTTGTTGAAAAGTTGCTGTAGTGGTCTAGTGGCACACACAAATCCTAGCGAGGTAAAAACGCTATACCAGCTAGCTAGGTCGCTAGCAGCAGGCCATACAGGTTACCACAATACCACACCACCATACTGCAGCAGCTCCGCCACTCCTTATATAAAAAGCTAAAGGATTGAACACGTCCTTTGGTTCGTACTAACTAAACTATTTACTTGTAACATCAGTTAAGTAATTATGCCACTTCTTTGCTAAACACACTATATCACTATATACTGTACATATATATTAATTATTATTCGGCCTTGCCGGCCTCTCAACAGCTCGTGTAAAATGAACCTTTAGTTTCGAACTCAAGCAAGATGTGAAATAAGACAGGGTAAGTCATTCTCACTGAGTACGGTTGAGTCAGGGAGTGTGGAAAGAATTACAAATGCTGTAGAATCAAGTCGGAAACTGTGGAATTAGAAATAAATGTTGTATGGAGTAGCCAGGAAACGTAAAAGCAGGTAGTACAAATGTTCTCAGTCGGTGTCAAAAGTCATGTGTACATGATTTAGTCCTTCACAATGTCAACAAAGAACAACTATGTGCGCCAGAGAGTGTATACGAGTATATGACAAACAATAATCCTCAGCACCAGCCAGGGAACAACATAATCCACCTTTTAACAGATAATTGGACGAGGAAAAATGAAAAAGACCTTCAGGAATATCGACAACACTATGTCTGTAAACAACACTTAAACGAAAACAGAAGAACAACTCACTCATGAAGACGCTGTTGGTGATCCTGCCGTCAGCATCGGTGGCGGCGATGGAGAAGTTGTTGGCGGCGAGTATACGCATCGGAGTGTTTGGGCGGGAGAGGATGCGGGCTGCCACCAGCTGGTCCATCACGTGCACCTCCCCGCTGGCGATCATTCCGCCTTTCACCATCTGTAGCCCACCCATACCTTCCTGTGAGCGAGGGTGATGGTGTTAGTGAACAGTGACAATGTTATAATACTATTGGAACTAATATGTTAGTGGTACTAAGGAGATGACAGGTGTTAGTGGAAATGACATAGTGAGTAACAGAAGTCACCACTAGGATTTATGTTAATATTAGAAATGTGAGGATAAGAAAACGGAGCCTTTTAGCTATTCCTGTCCTCACAAACTCAAGAAACAATAATCGACCTAACTTAATCGACCTAACTTAATCGACAATGGTACTTACATTTACCCAAGTAAGGGTAATTTCACCTCCCAGTACGAATGAATGATAGTTACGTAGCTGATGTATGAGGCATCAGCGGACAGTAATTTAAACTAGGCCACATATGGGAGCCCAAAACTTTGTGCCCAGATAATTTGTCAAAGCCTGTCAGTGCAGGAGCTTACGGCGACCCATCATCTGGACACCTGACTCCGGGGATGACGCAAACACTCTAAACTTCTTCCTTCTCCTCCTTCTCTTATTCTCTTCCTTTTATTGATCTTATTCCTACTCCCGTGTTCTCTGCTCCCTACCTTCTTGTCATTCTCCTCTGCTCCCCACCTTCTTGTCATTCTCCTCCTCCCCTCGGGAAAAGTCGAAGGCAGAAAGAATCTTGACAAAGTGCATGAGAGGCCATACCTATATTACTGCAGTGAACCTGCGTCACGCTCCCCTCCCTTGACACGCATGCATGTTTTCTCTCTCTCTCCCCTTGTCTATGTGTTAATCTATTTCTCGTTTAATTTCTGTCTATTTATCTATATATTTTTTCGGTTTGTGTATCTTCGTTAATTTGTCTGTCTCTGTTTCTTACTTATACACACGTACAAAAAACTAAAAAACACACATATGAACATAAGAACATAAGAATGGAGGAAACTGCAGCGGGCCTATTGGCCCATACTGGGCAGTCCCGTTTACACCCAACCCCTAATGCTCATATAAGCATCCAACCTATGTTTGAAGCAATTCAGCGTATTCGAGTTAATGATGATATTTGGTAACTTGTTCCATTCATCCACTACTCTGTTTCCAAACCAGTGTTTACCTATTTCACGCCTAAATCTAAATTTGTCTAATTTAAAACCATTGTTACGAGTTCGCTCCTGGTTGGATAATTTGAGTACCTTTGTAATGTCACCTTTGTTTAGCCCTGACTTCCACTTATACACCTCTATCAGGTCGCCCCTCGCTCTACGTCTCTCAAGGGAGTGCAAATTAAGATGCTTTAACCTGTCTCTATACTCAAGGCTCCTAATGCCCGGGATTAGTCTTGTCATTCTCCTCTGAATTCTTTCCAAGGATTCTATATCCATTCTGTAATACGGTGACCAGAACTGAACTGCGTAATCCAGGTGTGGTCTCACAAGCTCAAGATACAGCTTTAGGATGACCTCGCTAGTCTTGTAACTAACACTCCTTTGTATGAACCCAAGTACTTTATTAGCCTTGTTACGAGCAAAAACACATTGTTTACTTGGCTTAAGGTTCCTACTTATCATTATTCCTAAATCTCTCTCGCAGTCGGATTTCTCTATGGCATCGTTGTTCATCTGGTATCTGGTTTCCCTGTTTACATCTCCTATGCTGAGTACTTTACATTTGTCGACATTGAATTTCATCTCCCATTTTTCAGACCATTCGAAAAATTTGTTTAGATCTTCCTGTAGTTTTGCCGAGTCCTCGTCAGATTTGATAACACGTCCTATTTTAGTGTCATCAGCAAATTTACTTATGTTGCTGTCTATGCCGATATCTATGTCGTTTATGTATATAATAAACAATAATGGTCCAAGTACTGAGCCTTGGGGAACTCCACTTGTGACGTTGCTCCAATGGGACTTAGTGCCGTTAATGCTCACTCTCTGTTTCCTGTCCTGTAACCACGCCCTAATCCATTTAAGGATGTCACCTTTGATGCCATGAGCTTCTACCTTTCTAATTAGTCTTTCGTGGGGGACTCTGTCGAAGGCTTTACTAAAGTCGAGATATACCACATCATAATTGTGCCCCTCGTCCACCGATTCGAAAACTGATGAAAAGAATGTTAATAGATTAGTTAGGCAAGAACGTCCGCTTGTGAAGCCATGCTGGGAATCATTGATCAATCGGTGCTTCTCCAGGTGATTTCGAATAGAGTTTGAAATGATTGCTTCCAGTAATTTGCCTACTATTGATGTTAGACTGATTGGGCGGTAGTTAGAGGATAGTGATCTATCCCCCTTCTTGAAAATCGGTATTACATTCGCTATCCTCCAGGATTCTGGTACTACACCTGTTTTTAAGGACACGTTAAACAACTTTGCTAAGGGCATACTAAGCTCTTCCTTACATTCCTTTAATACTCTGGCAAATATCTCATCGGGACCAGGTGACTTATTAGGCTTTAATTTGTCTATTTGCTTACTAACATCGTTACTAGTCACTACTATCTCACTTAATTTGTTTTCTTCACTATCTCTGAATAGAGTCGGTGCCTCGGGAATCATGTTTAAATTTTCGGTGGTGAAAACTGTTGAAAAATATTTATTCAAATTATTGCTCATTTCTCCATCATTATCAGTGAGCTCGCCGGAGTCTGACCGTATTGGTCCAATCTTTTCTCGTGTTTTAGTTTGATACATTTGGTAGAATCCTTTGGGGTTTGTCTTCGCCTCCCTTGCTATCCTTACCTCATTATTCCTCTTTGCTTTCCTTATCTCGGTTTTAACCCTACTCGCCAATACCCTATAATAGTCCCGGAGGTGAATTTCGCCACGATTTATCCTTCTACCTATAGCCTTCCTTTGGCCAATGATGTTCTTTAAATAATTATTTATCCATTTAGGGTCATTGTTGTCTGATCTGAGTTTTTGTATGGTATGTTCTGCCTTTGTGCATTAAGTAACTCACTATTTAAATTGTCGTGGAACTCGGCAATCTCAGATCTCGTTATCAGGTCGGTGTCATCTGTCAGGTTCACGGCCAAGCGCGACACCCCCTCTCTCAGCTGCCTCTTTAAACTGTCAAAGTTTGCCCTTCTGAAATTTGGTACTTTAGTGGAATTTTCCTTACGTCTGCCCTGAAAATCTAACTGGAATCGAATTTCTTTGTGATCGCTGTTTGCAAGTTCGTTCCCTACCTCGACATTGCTAATGAGGTTTTCTCTGTTCGACAGAACTAAATCCAGTATATTATTACCCCGTGTGGGTTCGGTTATATGTTGACTTAGGAAACAGTCCTGGATCATCTCGAGAAAATCCTCTGATTCTGAGTTGCCCGTAAGGTCAGTCCAATCTATTTGGCCAAGGTTAAAGTCGCCTACTATACAGACTTTGTTGTGTATGGAAGCCCTGCGCATTTCATCCCAGATAAGTCGCTCATTGACGCTATCAAGATTGCGGGGTCTATATATTACTCCTGTGATTAATTTTTCCCGACCGTCGCTTAATTCTATCCAAATTGTTTCTGTATTCCTCTCAGTTTTTATTTCCTTATTTATTTCACATTTCAGATTATCCCTAACATAGATTGCTACTCCGCCTCCTTTCCTGGTCTGCCTATCAGTATGGAACAGTTTGTAACCCGCAATTTGGTATTCGACTGGTAATTCACGTGTGTCTAGGTTGATCCATGTTTCAGTGAATGCAATTATATCGATTTCTTCGGTACATACCAAGGCCCTAATATCATCCATTTTGTTTCTCATACTTCTACTGTTCGCGTAGTACATTTAAGTTAGTCGTGTTCTGAGTCCTCCCCTTACCGCGTTTAGTTTTAAACTCCCTGTCTAATTTAGTTTTGTCATCATTCCTAACACTATTTCCCTGTAATCTTTCGCCTTGTTTACCCGCTCCCACTGCAGTCTCCTCCACCCCCGTGCCCATATGTTCTCTTAGCAGTTTAAAGACTTCGATATCTTTTGAACTGCCCCCTCTAGAGCCCCAGCCAGGGTTGCTACTCCATCCCTAGACAGGTGCACCCCATCCCTAGCATAAAGGTCCCTTCTGCCATAGAAGTTGTCCCAGTTGTCAATGAATGGGACTGATATTGACTTGCAATATCTGTCAAGACGGTCGTTGACACCAACTGCCCTTGACAACCATTCACTGCCAACTCTCCTTCTAGGCAGGACACCGCATATGATAGGGATCCCTCCCTTAGTCCTAATACGATCTATAGCTGCCTTGAACTTATCAAGAAGTTCCTCGCTCCTACACCGGCCAATATCATTGCCTCCTGCACTGAGGCAGATAATGGGTTTGTTCCCATTACCAGACAAGATATTGTCCATCCTGTCAATTATATCCCCCACCCCAGCTCCTGGCAAACACACCCTCATCCTATTTTTGTTTTTACCACAAAAGGCCCTGTCCATGTACCTTACCTGTGAGTCACCAACAATTAAAGTTTTTATACCTTCCTTGTCATCCCTGCCCCTGACTGTACTAACGTCCAATTCGTCTATCAAGGGACTGAACGGGTTGGTACACTTAGCTGTTGTTGTCGTTGTTGTCATATCCTTCGTGTGCTTCTTCACCACGAGCTATGTCTTCCCACTACTCACAATTTTCCACTCGCTTGATTTTTCGTCAGACACTGGCTTTATTCGTCCAGCCTCTCCTTTTAACTTCGCCAGCTCTTTCCTTAATTTCAGGTTCTCCAACGTGGCCCTCTCAATTTCTAACTTGGCCCTCGCCAATTCTTCAATGGACCACCCCAGTTTGGTCAACAAACTCTCATACCCAAGACCGCACATAGCACTGGCCATATCTGATAATTATCCCTCCGGAGCTAACCCTGCCGTGGCCTTTCCCCTAGTGAGGTCAGAACACAACTGAGTGAGGTCAGAACACAACTGACATTCAAAGGCACGCACACACACACACACACACGGATCCACATAGCAAGATACAGACAGACAGGCAGACAGAAAGACAGACAGACTCACGTAGACATTATATGGACATTTTATATCAACCATCACTTTTTCCCTTGA